CGCACAAAAAAGGTGTTTTCCTGGTTCCTTTCTGTAATCTACGCAGCACTGGATTTGCCCGTTTAGCCTGGGGTTGCACCTTGTGCTATTTTCCTTACTTCTTGCTCTTCATTTCCATCCTCCCACCCTTCAAGTTCCTCCTCAAAAACCCTCTTAACTCCAAACATTCTCTTCAAAGTAAAGAGCACACAAAAAACAAATGGTGGGACTCTCCACTGCCTGATGTTGTGACCTTGACCACAACAGCATAATATTATGTTAAAAGCCTTAACATCGGTTTCCTTGGCCTCCCAGTGTTCGTCACGTCCTTTGCAGGCATGCATTTAAGGACACAGAACAGAACCCCACACACTCACAGTGCTATGTAATTCAGGTGGCATGCAAAGGTTCACATCCGATTCAATCATGCGCTGTACATAGTGCACACAGGTGGAATGGGGACCTACCTGTTGCTGTTCTCATGGAGACATTGCATTCATTCCATACAGGCAAGAAAGGACAATACTGTCAGTTTTAAATGACCCTTTCCTCAGTACAATGAAGATAGTTGCATTTGACTTTCTTTAGGTTTTTGTCATTGGAAATAATAAAATACTTTAAAGGGGGAGGGGAAAAGCTTGTACAATACTGCTCCTTTTGATATCTACCAATGTGAATGTATCACTTAGAATTTATGACAGGCTGGCTCGATGAAGTCTTGTACCATGATTGATGGCCATACTTAGCTATTCTGTGGCTCTTAACAGTTATGCATCTAAGAATGGAACTGAGGGGATTGAACAGTAGGTGACACCTCAATGGAAACCATGGCTTGGAACAAGCTTATACACTGGAATAATGAATGAATGTGTTAGTCCAATGCATAGCTATTGAAGGTTCACAGCCTCGTTGTAAACAGACAGGAGATCTTTTTCATATGCAAGCATAAGAGAATATCACATGGCATGCTAAACATCTAAACTTAGATTGATTCCCAGAATATCTGACTTGTGCTGACACAGAGCACAAGGCTTCTTTGATGCTTAAAATAGTACAACCTCAAGTAATCCCACTATTATGGTGTCTTTCATCCCAAAAGCTTGGGGATTGTACTTGACAAAAAGTTAAAGCTAATTAAGCCTTGCACCCCTCTAATGGCTGTAGCAGGGTCATAATGCTGCCTCTGAGAAGGGATGGAGCAGCTGCTTGCCACCAGACACCAGCATACAAAAGTTCAGATAAAGATGGGGAAATGCTCCATCCTACTGGCCTCCCTGATCACAACCTGGTTACATTTGGGTGCAGTATTTACAAGCTCAGGTTTTAATGAGAAAGGGGCTCTAATGTGCAGACTGCGTTGAGTACTGAGGGCCTCCTGACAGGCATTCAGCACCCTCCCCTCTCCTAGCAGCAGTGTAACAATGCAACACTGTTTTTGCTCTCCCCTGCCATCTCCAAGTTGGCACTTAGGGCAACCGCCCTGGTTGTCTTGTGCTAGTTACATAGTGTCTGGTAGTTACGTAGTGTCTGGTAGTAGCTGAACATTTTCTGAATTGCCCTTAATATGTTTTAGACTGAGCATGACTTTCCAGCCCCTTGGAAAAGCTGCGTCAGAAACCTAGCATCCCTCCTGAGTAATAGTACATCTATGCAGCGGTACCGCCTGCACTTGC